TGTGTGACCAGTTGATTTTGTATAAAAGACTGGGGAGAGGGCAGAATGACTAGATGATCCTTGATCCTTCTAACCCAAGTCATTTTAATTTCTCATATTTTGGCCTAAGCTAGAGAATTTCCATGCTGTGTATCATGAGAAGTTTAAAAAGAATGATTTCCCCCTAATACAGGAAGAACTTTTCCTTGAAAATATATAAAAAGATTTTCCCCCCTAATGTCTCCCTAAAGGGGGAAGGTTTAGAAAGGAGAAAAAAAGGAAAATCTAGGCTACTTTTTGAGGTTTATTCCTCAAGATATGGACAAAGTAACTTTTATCAAATGAGGAAAATGGCAACAGATTTAGGGACTCTATCACTTTTCCCCCCTCTTAAAAATATTCTCCCTTATCTTGACTTTTTAAAAACACAAAATGATTTTTATAACCAAAATTGGCAGTATATGCATTCAGCAAACATTTATCAAGCACCTACGATGTTTTCGGCACTGTGCTAGGAGCCAGGGGTGCTAAAATAAGAAATGGCCCTGGCCCCTAAGGAACTAAAATCCTAAATATATATGGCTTGAATTCATTTCTATTATTAGCTCATACAATAACCTGGATTAGGCTTTTATTTCTCTCAGTGCCTCAGTTTCCCCCCTGCCCCATCCCCTTTAAAATGTAGGTAATTATAGTGATAGAACAGAGTGACCAGAACTGCATCATAAAGTCTGGATTAGATTTGGAGGTGTTATCTCAGAAGTGTCACATGCAAGAGGTTTGTAAAGCTGTTTGGAAGAGCAGGATGGCAGCGTTGGCGCTGGAGGTGGTAAGAAGGGTGGCATTCAGGACGCTGCACAGAATGCAGAGGGGTCGTTCTGAGAAGCTCACCTGGACCAGGTGAAAGGGACTGGGGCAGAGAGTCCAGGGCTCAATGGGGCTTTGTGCTCAGAAGCTCAGGTGGGGTGACTCCATCTGGACACCGTCATCAATCCATTCACGTCCAGCTCAGCTGTCACAACATCTTGATAGCCTGAGTTTGGTGCTGGGGTGTTTTCTTGCCTTTTGACCCAGAAGCTGCTGGGATTCGTTTGCTTGGCAGGGAGCTAGAGAACAGATCTTTATCTTAATTGCCTGTCCATTCCGTAATTCTTTGTGAAGGAGTGGATTTTCTCTTTTTAACAAAGTTGGTGTATGCCTGTACGTTGTCACTCTGACTTTGATTTGGGGTTCCATCTGCCATCTTGAAACTAAATGATGGTCAACTACTTTTTAAAATTAGGTCGTATATTGTGAATCTTGATAGGATTATGAAATGTGGTTTATGTGTATCACAGAAATGTGATAGTAGCTTTAGTCAAATATTTTATTAGCACACTTGATGAAGATCCATTCACATTACTGACTGTCTTTTGCGAAGAAATTGGGCTGAGATAGCAACTGTTATATGATCGCTACCATCATCACTAATTACTAAGGACATAAAATACTCTGTGTGTGTGTGTGTGTATTTATGATCAGTCTTATCAGCACTTTATGATATTTCTGGTATTATGCCATTTTACAGATGAACTCAAGACACAGGGAAATTAAGTACAAAATTACACAGTTAGAATTGGAGCTGGAGCTGGATCTTGAACCCCCATCTGATACCCAAGTTCTTTCCAGTCTGCTGTGTGTGTTCCCTTCATCACTGTACCAGGGTTTTAGGGCTCTGTAAAGGAGAATGCTGAGGAATGCATTAGGTTTTTTGATAAGATACATGCCACCTTTGCCCCCTACCTCTCTCATAAGCACAGGCCTTTCCTAATCTAATATGTGGTTAAGTGGAGAAGCGCCAACTCATCACTGATCTCTGAGCTTCTGTGACTCTCAGAGAGGCTGCTTTATGTCCAAGGGACCAGCTGTAGCCCTTCGAGGGAAGGAAGGAGTTTGGGTGGGAAGACTTGCTGGAAGGGAGTAAGGTGGAATGGAAGGAATGTAGTTTCAGGAGCCAAGAAGACCAGCTCTGTCTCCTGTGGGTGTTTCCTCACTGACCATCGGTGCAGTGAGAATAATATCACCAACCTGATAGGACTGAATTAAATGAGATGTAGGATATGAAGCCTATGATATACGCAGGACATGCAACAATTGTTAGTTGCAAACACTGGAGGACTTAACTTTACACTTTCTTTCCAGAACTTTCCCATGCACATGTTTTTTGATGGACACATATGTACTGCTGTTTAAGATTTTGCACACAGTCTCTTTTGTGCTAGTGTAAGAAACCCTACACTTATCTTTTTAAAAAAATCTTTTATTTCTGCACAGTTTGCCATGGTTTCAATGCTCCCTTTGACTTTAGATCGTTAAGGGCCTCAAAGCCATTGGGTGTCAGCAGTGGTGAATTCAGCCAGGCTTGTGTCATGTCTCCTCCCTTGTTTGAGGGATGAGGGTGGCAGTTGGGTTTGGCTCTGGTCTCGCTTGCTCTTTTGTTGTGGGATGTCTCACTGTCTACTCCTGAGGCCTTGGCCTTCTGAGAGGACAAAAGGCTTCTTCACCTTGGAGGCATGACTAGCACACAAGTGCCTTGAACTGTGCCCTTGCTGTGGAAGAGGGTGGGTCACTCATGCTCACAGTCCCCCAACTCCTGTGTTCTTTGTTCTCTTTTGGCAGAACCAGCTTCTTGCAAAAGGACTGCTCTTTGTGGAGGAGAAGATCAAGCTGTGTGAAGGCAAGTACAAGGCGGCCCTCGTAGAATGGGGCCTCGGTGACTCAGCTTTTGATGTCCAGAGAGCTGAAATGCTCTGCGCAAAAGGGGCGGGCTCCTTGTGAGTGACCTGCACTGCCGTTTCTTCCCCAGCTAGGAGGCATCGCCTCGCTTGCAGTCAGCCACTCGTGGCAGCGCATGTCTTTTGAAAAATGTAGTGGGATTGGGGTGGTTTCCTTGGAGGCCTCGTTAAGGGGAGATTTTCATGGCGTGCATCCTGGTGGTCTCCTTTGAAAGGATCAGCTATGCTGGGATCCTGCTGTGCCATTCCCTTTGGTCTGCCCCAGGTGATTTCCTTTCGGCCTTTGTAATGTTTCTTGGGGTCATGGAAGACAGGAGTCCTATCCATGTGAGGAACATTAGGCTAAGCAGACACCCACTTCATGGGATATGATTTGGTAGATGAAGAGAAATCTCCTGGTCTCATACAATTTGAGAGTCTAGCTGACAGGCTAGAAAGGAACTGGATGGAGATGGGAGATGGAACCAAGTGCGAGAATGGGCCCACCCCATGACTCTACCCAGGGTCACTCTCGGCTCCCACCAATGTGGGGCCTGATCTTAGATCACACCTACTTCTTGGGTGGCTTCTGGCAAGTTACTAGTTTCTCTGAATCTCCGTTTTTATCATTTTTAAAGTGAGAAAATGGGGTGAGGGGTGATAGGGAGCACAAGGTACGTAACTGGCATAACTCCATGCCTGGCACACAGTAGGTGTGCATGCTGGCTTCTGCTTTTTTCCTGCTCCAGCCTAATGTCCTCTGTCTGTAGGTCACACCTACTTAAGGGCCCAGACTCAACAGGCATCATGTCATCCCTTTTTTCCTTCTTATTCCCTGGGAAAGAGACTAGTATCCAGTGAAGTGACTCCTAGAAAGACAAAGTAGGAAAAAATGAGAAGCCAGTACTGGAAAGTTCCAGTGCCTGGCACACAGTAGATGCTCACCAAGCCTCTGGAAGAATAGAGGTAGAAGTTAACCTCTGCATCTTTGAGATGTGGCCTTTTCCCCCTTGAATGCATCTATGCTGTGATTTTTATTTTCTCAACCTTATAAATACCCACTAACCAAAGACCTTTTTTAAAAAAAAAATTGTGTGGTTAAAAAAAAAAACATAATATAAAATGTACCCTCTTAACCATTTTACAGTTCAGTAGTGTTAACTTTATTCATATTGTTGTATAACAGATCTCCAGAACTTTCTTATCTTACAAAACTAAAGCTCCATACCCATCAAACAGCAGCAACTTCCCATTCCCTTCCACCCCTGACAACCACCATTCTACTTTTCGTTTCCATGATTTTGACTATTCTAGGTGTCTTATAAAAGTGGAGTCACATAGTATTTGTCCTGTTGTGTCTGGCTTATTTACTCAGCATAATGTCCTTTGGTTTTATCCATGTTGCAGCATGTGACAGGTTTTCCTTCTTTTTTAAGGTTGAGTAATATTCCATCGTATGTGTATACCACATTTCCTTTACCCATTCATCTGTCAGTGGAAGGGCCTTATTTTTAAGTGACTTGCTTTGACTGGGAACTTTGTGGTTCTTTTGTATTTTGGAGTCAGGCAAGTGCACAAGCGTGGACGTGTGCTGCCTAGCAAGGTGAGGGAAGGGAGACCTTGTCTGGCCACACTACTTACATGCCAGTCGTCTGGGGAATTACTGCAGGTACCTGAAAATGTGAAAAACCAGCTCTATGAAAAAGGTATTGAGCAAAACCAGAGATTCAAGTGCCCTTAAAAGGGGAAGTTGAATGTCACCTCAACATTTTTTTTTTGTCACCTCAACATTGATACATTCAGAGTTAAAACTCAGAAATGGAGCTAGTCGGAATGAACGAAGATCATTCAGAGTTCTGTGCCTCTGCCACAAGGCAGGGCTGGGGAGCACCAGGCCAGGGTATTCCCTCTGGTTTCTGCTAGTCTCAAATTCTGGGGTCCGGGTCCTTTCCGCACAGTGAATGGGCACGTAGGGAACCTTTAAGGGACCTTCCCATCTTCAACCAGAACATCTCTACTTTTTTACTGGATGTATTAGAACTTCAAGAAAGATTTTGTTTGGGTAAAAGGATTCTCTTGCTGTAAAATAAAGTTTGGAAACAACTAATATGATCCATCCAGTCAATGAATAAACTTTATTTTATTGACGTATTTGTTTATGTATTTACACATTTGTTTATATATTTGCTGCAGAAAGGACAGGTGGCTGCTCATATCCATTTGTTGCTCTCTTGTGGGCAGGAGACGCCGTGCTACTTTCATTAGTCTTTTCTAGATCTTTAGTGACCTTGACTTTTAGGAAGTTTCTTATCCCTACTACCCATACACTTCTGGTGATCTAAACCCCTATGGTACATTAGAGGGCAGATTTTATAGGACAGTCATCTAGAACCTTCCATCCAAATACCTTCTCTTTGCAGGGAGCTAAGTCCTTGGCTTGTGGGCTGTTTCTGGAAGTGAAGTCACCTGTTTCCTTTAACTCTTTCTTCCCAAGGGCTACCCTGTTTTGTTAGCCTGTGCCTGTCTGATGTTCTTCTCTGAGCACTTTCCAAAACCTCCGTTGCTCTCTGAGGTTTGAAGCCAGCAATTAGACCCAAGTGCCCAGAGGCATCTTACTGCTGCTGGGTCGCAGGATTCCCTCATGTGCCAATGAGCCTGCATCTTGGCATTGAAGGGGTGTGCAGACACCAGCTCTGGCCTTTAGGATTCTCTCTCCTTCTCCTTCAGGTTGGGAGGGCTCTGCTTGTCTTTGTTGTGGAAGGCTTAGGATAAGGGCCATGAACAAAGGAGCTGGAGTAGCCTTTTCCCATTTCGGGTGTATTATCCAGGTGTTGGGGTTCACCTTGGTTTTAGGAACAAGGCATCTAACATTTTGGATGGCCCTTTGACTTCCATGCCTCCTCCCTGCAGTGAACTAGCATAGCCTACATTTAAAAGAGGATGGTGATTGATTGATTCAAGCAAACACCTATCAATTATCTATTATATGCCAGGTACTTTGCTAGGGGCTGGGGACACAGTGGTGAACAAAACCATCATAGGATTTC